CAGGTGCTGATGTGGCATTCTGGGCGAAGAAGGGGTAGACTTCGGGCTAGTTTGGTATTGCTATGCTTTGAAAAAAAAGCTGCTGTGAGAATAAGCGGCTGTGCTGTGAGAATAAGTGGCTGTGAAATAAATCAGCAAAGTGTTTGGTAAACTTTTTTGTAAAAATGCTTTTGGAAAAAAAAGCAGTTTGATAGTGGGTATTTTCATTAAAGGAGCACTGTAGCTCCGTGTGCTTTTAAAAAAAAAAAAACCAGTTTTCCAAAGCTGCAAATATCAGCTTCAGCTTTTTCCTTTGATTTCAGCTTATTCTCATAGCAGCTTCCAAAATAAGCCATTTTTTTTCAGTTTACCAAACACCTAAAACCCTCACAGCTTTTTTTCATGGTGCTTTTTTTTTAAGCACCTCACTCCCAAACTAAGGCCTCGTACCCAACATTACAACTCAGAGACAAAACTCGTGCTCCGAGTGTCCCATTACAGCAGCTCAGAAATTGGCCTATGGACCCCCGAAGACAGCGATTGCAATCTGTCGCCGACAAGTCCTGCGTGCATTGCGCGAGGCTGTACACCGACATCAACGTACTAACATTTGCCTAATTCATCCCGAACTTATCGGCGTCTCCGACAGCCTCACTGGCTGTCTGGTTCACACTCGTCGCCATGACTTGGTTGAACCGAGTCGGGTCGGTGGCGTTCTGCGTGTTCCACAAGTACACGCGGGGCGACTCGGTGACGGTGGAGAAGAATGACTCGTTGGAGTAGCATAGCAAGCAGTCGTCATACCAGATCACCACCTGTTTTTCTACGGGGCAGCGTTGTGGGGCCTCGGTGGTTGCGGTGGCTACACAGGTTTTGCAAGCGGCAGAGGAAGATGCCGTAGACGGCGTTGTTTGTGGTTTGGACGGTGACGTTGTAGAAGCCGGTGGAGCGGTTGGCGTTGGATGAGAGGTTGGAAAGGAGGCGGTTGAGGTTGGACTGGATGGTGGAGTTTGGGGTGAAGGTGGTGGTGTTTGGGCAGATGTGGGAAAGGTATACTGCTTCCGTATTGGTCAGAAAGCTGGGCAGAGTAAAAATGGAGAAAATCAAAAGAAGGGTAGTCATGCTTTTCATTTTTTGGTGATTCATCGTAACATCATAGGTTTTTGTACTTAGTATTAACAAGAGCAATGCAGGGTGGCAGCAAGACTTGTCAGTTTTGAGTATTGATTAGAAGAGTTCCTCTCGTACAACCGGGCTTTAGTCTCAATGCCATCAACTTCTAAGAGCAACTCCACCCTTGGAGCCCTTCCCCCAGACAATCCACTATTTAATCAACCATGTGAACAGTAACTGCCATAATGAACAGTAACTGCCTTTTGCATCTCCACCCTTGCACTTGAATAGTCCTGGCAATAAGCAATAAAATATTTATTAATTTTTTTTTTACAAAATAATACAAAATAAATTTATTTGTAATTTCGGATAAGATATTTTAAATCGTTCTCGTTGCGCCATGTGTCATTTACCCAAAACGACTATTATTGGTCATAGATTTCGATAAGATTTTTATCCAATGTCATCGTGCCACTTGTCGTTATCTTTTCAGAATCTTTGAGGATATATTTCGATCAGATTTTAAATCGTTCTCGTTGTACCACGTGTCATTATCCGAAAAAATAATTATTGGTGATGGATTTGGATAAGATTTTTATCCAATGCCGTTATGTCACGTGTCGTTATCTTTTCAAAATCTTTTAGGATAGATTTCGATCAAATTTTTAACGAATGACGGCATGCCACGTGGCATTATCTACAACCTAATCATTTCAGAATCCTCCATATAATCCATCATCCATTCTTAATCCAACATCTTCAAGAAGCGTCCAATTCGTACCTGCATCTGTAGTCATTTTGTTGAAAAAAATTGGATTGAAACTTTGAGAGAAAGATAGGAATGTGATTGAAAGTAGTTGAGAAAATATGAAATTGTGGTGTAAAGTAGATGATAATGAGTAGGTATTTATAGAAAAGTATAAACATTTTTTTTAAATTTCAGATATTTTTTTCGACTTTTTTACAATTTTTTAAATTTTTTTATTCAAATAATTAATCTCTGCCGTTGGATTTAAAAAAAATTGAATTCCAACACTCTAGATTGTGCCACGTGTCACAACGGTAACTTTTCTTAATTTTAAAACTATTTTTTATTTATTTATAAAGCATATTAATATCGATCGTTGATCTCAAATCGAACGGTTGATATTAAATAAGATTTATTTTTAGTTTTTTTACCGTTGAGATCCAATGGTCCAAATTAAAGAGCCGTTGAGATCGAACGGACCGTGGGATGCCACGTGGCTTCCCAACGGTAACTTTTCTGTCTGAAAAGTCGTCTGACTTTTTTGAAACTTGGTCGGGCGACGAATGGGGGTGCACGCGCCTGACAAAAATAAAATAAAAAAAAGGGTTGAGCCACTCGGGCTCTCGGGCTATCAACTCCTCACAGGCCCGGAGCTCAGGCCTCACCTCCCCTCGGGCTCCTTCAAGGCTGGAGCAAGTTCAGGGCCTCGGGCCCCTTTCCTTTCCCCTGTCCCCCGAGCAATGTCCATGGGTGGACTTGCTCTAATAAGTGCTTGCAACTTGTTCAAAAGTTGCACTATTCTTTCCAATCCACTGATCAATTGTTTTGTTGTTTATTCGTACAAAAAGCAAGGGTAATCCGACTGATAGATGACTCATACCGTTGTTGTTAATTAAATTATATTGATTAACGTGTTAATTTTTTTTATTAGAAACATATTATTTTGCTTGGAAATTTAATTTAAAATTTTAATATTCCTAACATTATTCAAAAAGTAATCACGGCTTCATGTTGACAAGTTTAAATTACTATTTTTATGAGTGATAATCTAAATTAATTTAATTTAAATTATAAAAGGGAGATCCATTTAGGATAAAAAGAGAAAACATTAACCAATTTGATTAAGCCCACCTAAATTGCCAACTTTAATTATTGATTATTACCCACGAGGATGTTAGAAGTTCATTAAACTTCAAGAGTACAACATATTGGGATATGTCATTTACCGCCATGTAAAAAAGTTAAAAACTTAAAATATAGGACAATGCATTATTAAGTGGGACCACTACACTACTATGTTGTTCTCCCTCATGCACCACCATGTGATAAGTTATTTCTAGATGTTCGTACTATATACGTGTTTGCAGTGACTAAGTCAGAATTTTCAAATAATAGGGTCTTAATTTTAACCAAAAAAATAACTTCAATGGACCATTTCGTCGAGCACCTAATGGGTACTCGTTTATTCTTGCCAATATTTGCCAAAAGCTTACGCTAACGTATGTCGATAATTACTATGATCAGTAGAGGCTTGTCGAGCGGAGTTGTAGAAAACTATCGAGTAATGTTGAAGATTGTCAAAGCTTGTCAACTGAGACATTTCATCGAGCACTTGGTTCACACCATAGAGTCGCATACAAGAAGAGATAGATGATAAAAGAAAACAAAATTAGGAGGAGGAAGTATGATTTAGTTTGTCATAACTGTTTATAATGATCAAATACAAATACAAAGTCAAATGTACATAAATATTTGGGTGAAGTGCCGATTTAGTTCCTGAACTATCACCTCAGTGAAAATTAGGTCTTTAAATTATTTTTTCGGTAAATAAGTCCCTAAATTCATTAGAAATTGCTAATTTCATCCCTACTATTATATTCAAAGCTATTTTATCCAATTTTTTGTCAACTTAAGTCACTTGACACACTTTAGAGTGTAATACCATCATTTTCTCGTCTATAAGTGCTTAAAATTTCATATTGGTTGCGAATTTAATGTCTAATTTACCCTCAAAAGTTAACTTACACCATTTCTTTATGAAAAACTACTAATTTCTCATCCAAAGTTAACTTCATACACTATTTCTTTATGAAAAACTACCAATCTACCCTCCAATGTGTATCACATGCAAGTAACGTGACTTAAATTGACGAAAATTAAATATAGTAGCTTCAAATATAACATTAGGGATGTAATTGGCAGATTTTTATAATTCAAGGACTAATTTTTCTGAAAAAATAGTTTAGAGGTTTAATTTTCACTAAGGTAATAATTCATGGACTAAATTGACATTTTACCCTAAATGTTTTAAAGCTGTTGGAATCATAAACAACGAATGACTTCATATTAATTACGCCGTTATAAGTTTGGACTTTATACATTCACCTAAGAAAACAAAATACATATTATTTGCCAAATTCATATAGGTGAAAAATAAAAATTGCAATGTAGGAAAAAGTAATTGAAACTTTACAATCTGAAAAGTCACGGCAGATGGTCTTTTGTCAAAGAGTATAAAGTAAAAAAACTTTAATTTTTCGTGTGGAAAAGTATCTCACTAGTTATGTCACTATCTCAGTCAAATTCGTAGAAGAAACGTAAACGAAGGAGACGAATATAAAATTTCGTAAGAATTACGTATAAATTTATTATAATATACAGATACGATGGAGACGTAAGTGCCAAAAGGGTACCATATAATATACTATTAAACTTGAATTTTCAACAATAATATAATTACATAAAATCTGTTGATTTGTTGCTGATGAGACTTGTTCTGTTGATCTTGGATAAATATAATTTATGTTTCTTCGCTATTAAAGATTTGAATCTTTGAAACAAATAAACTTACCCGTGTATGTTAAACAGTATCAATTAGCTTAAGAAAATTTTCATAAGGTGAGTCAATTTTTTTCGTTATTAAACAAATGCGTGTTAAAATAATAAAATGCCAAACTTGAAACACATATGTACAAGAACCGATGACAAATAAAATGTAAGAAAAAGAGATGTTTGTGAAAAATATTATATAATTTTTTTAATTAAACTGAGATAATTAAAATTAATGGCTAAATATACGATGGATTACCTTTGTAAAATAATAAAAATTAAATGTAATTTTTTTTTTTCCTCGAAAGCTTAGATTCCAACGAGAAACTTGCATTTAACCAGAATATTATGTGACGATTGTTGTAAAAACATGTAAATATATATTTAATGGATTCCAATGATATATGTCCTCATATCTTGCTCAACGAGCCACAACATTAGAAATCGTCAAGCCATTGGCCGAGCAATTGTGAGCACTGACTGCTACATGATCACGATGATCAATAAATCTCCCTGTAAAGAAGGCTGGTCGCTCAGGTTTAGAAAGACTAATGGTTTCACTTTTCAACATAAGAACAACTGATGACATGGTCGGCCTGTTGTTTGCATCTTCTTGAACACACAATAATCCGATATGAACGTATCTCAGGAATTCATTTGGACTGCATGAGCCTTTCAACAACGGATCCATCAACTCCAACACTTTCCCTTCATTCCATAATTTCCAAGCCTGCAATTATAATTTCATGCTAATTAAGATGTAGTGATATATTGATTATAAATTTCTATATACCTACATATATTTGTTTGAGATATTTTTGTATAAGCTAACTCTCAAGTAAAGACTTTACGTACGTAGCCTATAAGAGTCGGTGCACCATTTGTCGGATGAAAACCCAAAAAGTTCTTTCTCCCCGTTGTGATCTCAAGCAAAAGTACTCCGAAGCTATATACATCAGATTTTATTGAATACAATCCCTCCATAGCATACTCTGGAGCCATGTAACCACTAAATTGCAAAAACAGCTAAGAATTTGAATATGTAAGATAATTAACTAAATAGAGGAAAGTATATATATATGAGTTGAAACTTACTAGGTGCCGACAATTCTTTTGGTGTTTCCTTGAGTTTGATCATCCACTCCAAACATTCTTGCCATACCAAAATCTGATATTTTTGGATTCATATTTTCATCTAACAGGATGTTACTCGCTTTTAGATCACGATGTATAACTCTATGCCTTGAATCTTCATGAAGATATAAAATTCCTCGAGTGATTCCTCCTATTATCATGCAACGGCTTGACCAATCCAGCTGTTCACGTTTCCTGGATTCTATATGCTCACTTCAATTCATTAAATATATACAATAATATTGTATCTAAGTTCGAAATTACTAATTTTTTTTTCAGAATTATGTCCTCTTACCAAAAAGAAAATAATCAAGACTTTTGTTTCGCACATATTCATAAACAAGTAGGGTTTCCTCTCCTTCCAAACAAAATCCCAGGAGCCTAACAAGATTTCTGTGTTGAAGTTTGGCTACCAATGCAACCTCGTTCTTAAATTCTTGGACGCCTTGTCTAGAGCTTTTTGACAACCTCTTCACTGCAATTTCTTGTTCATTAGCAAGTGTTCCCTGACATATGAGGCATTCTATCCAATCAATTTCGGTTGCATACATCTTATATATGTTGAGAATAGTACAAGTTGAACCCGAGATTCTAAGAATTGAGCACTGTATATTAAGAATCAATAATTTCAAAGACAAAATAAGGGTAGATATATGTTCCCATTTTCAATTTTCATACCTTGAAAACTACACCAAATCCGCCTTCACCTAACTTGTTATTATCAGAAAACTTGTTTGTGGCGGTTTCAATGGTTCCCAAGTCGAATTGCAAGGACTCAACAGTCTTTGTATCATCCTTAGCTAAGACAGAGTTTCAAAATATTACACGTAAACTATTCATGATAAACTAATCCAACCGATTTCAGGAAACTAAATTGGCAAAAGTTCCAACATGAGATGAGATAGTGTGACAATAAGCGTTGCACTTACCTTCAACTTCAAGTTGTAACCCTCGTTTCTTGACTCTCGAGTAAATGCATATGCTGCTGAGAATGGTAACAAAAGCAACCAAAACCACGACCACCACGATGATGATAATTACTTTTCTGTTACTCTTCTTTGCTTCTGGAACCGGAGGTGGAATATTTGCTGGCGACACTAAAAGTTCACGACACCATAAATTGGAATTGTTACTGAATTACAATTAATATCTTTTTGGGGGATAGTGTATACCTTTAGGCCCTTCTCTGATGGAGGCTGGCGGCGGTGGGGCGGAGGAGTAGAAGGGGTAAATTTCAAACCTAAGATTGCAACTGGGTTTTAGAACTCGTCCCCCAGCATTGCTTCTAGGAGTTTGTGTTGCAGCTTCCAGAAGACACCAATTGCAATCTCCAGACAACAGATCCTGCGTGCACTGCCCAAATCCGTACAGCGTAATGAAACCTGAAACACTCGTTTCTTTCGTCGCAAACATGTGACTGCTATTGGAAGTCTGAGCGGCCACCTCGGTGACCGTAGCTGCCAGTACCTTGTTGAACAGGTTTTGGTCCGTTATACCACTTGCATTCTGCGTGTTCCACATGTACAAGCTAGGCGATTCGGCCGAGGTGGAAAAGAATGACTCGTCGGAGTAGCGTAGCATGCAGTCGTCGTACCAGATCACCACCTGTTTCTCTATGGGGCAGCGTTCTGGGGCCTCGGCGGTTACGGTGGCGACACAGGTTTCGCAAGCGTCGGTGCCCACGACGTCGCCGCGGCAGAGGAAGAGGCCGTAGACGGCGTTGTTTGGGGTTTGGACGGTGGCGTTGTAGAAGCCGGTGGAGCGGTTGGAGTTGGAGGAGAGGGTGGAGAGGAGGCGGTTGACGTTGGACTGGAAGGTGGAGTTTGGGGTGAAGGTGGTGGTGTTTGAGCAGACGTGGTAGAGATAAACTGCTTCCGTAATGGTCAGAAAGCTGGGCAGAGTAAAAATGGAGAAAATCAAAAGAAGGGTAGTCATGCTTTTCAATTTTTGGTGATTCATCATAACATATGTTTTTGTATTAACAAGAGCAATGCAGGTGTGGTAGCAAGACATTTCAGTTTTGAGTGTTGACCAGAAGAGTTCCTCTCATACAACAACCGGGTTTTAATCTCAGTGCCACCAACCTCTAATAAGTGCTGGAAAAATGATATTTTTTGTACCATATTTTCATACCATCTTAGGTGGTATTTGATGTAGACAGTCACATCATTTGAATTCATCAGATTTTTAAATTTAGTTCATTATTTAATAAACTAATAATTAAGAAAAACTAGTTAATTAAATGATGATTGTGATATACAATGAGTCTTTCTCCTTTTTTGGGTTTTGCAAATTTTTCAAATGATGTAGTTGTCCACATCAGATGACAACTAAGGTGGTATGGAAATATGATATAAAAACATGGTATAAATAGCATTACTCATAAGTGCTTGAAACTTATTCAAAAGTTGCACTATTCTGTCCACTGACCAATTGTTTTGTTGTTTATTGGTACAAATAGCAAGGGTGATCCTAATGATAGATCTAATGATGTTGTGATTCAATTAAATTGATTAACGTGTTTACTTTTTATTACTAATAAATTATTTTATTTATAAAATTATTTAAAATTTTAGTGTTCCTAACATTATCCATTAAGTGGTAGATCAAATGATGTTGCAATTCAATTAAATTGACTAACGTGCTTATTTCTTATCAATAATAAATTATTTTATTAAGTAATCAATGCTTCCGGTTGACGAGTTTAGATTACTATTTTTATAAGTAATCATCTAAATTAATTTAATTTAAAATATAAAAGGGAGATCCCTTTAGGATGCAACGAAGAAAACATTAACCAATTTGATTAAGCCCACCTAAATTGCCAACTTTTATTGTTTGTTGTGTCATATTAAATCCGAGTAGGTGTCGAAGCTCTCTCAGGTAGTAGTTTGAAGCAAAGAAAAATGCAATGGGGACGGGAGTGGTAGAGTGTGACGCCAGTTATGTATGGGAAATTCCAGCTTGGTGGAGATTTTTCTGAGGATTATTTAGTTTTAGCATCAAGGAACCAAAAAGTCCTGAAAAAAATTATTGATTATTACCCACGAGGATGTTAGAAGAAGTTCCTTAAACCTCAAGAGTACGACATATTGGTATTTACTATAGTAATATCTCATTCACCACCATGTAAAAAGGTTAAAAACTTAAAATATAGGACGATGTATTATTGAGTTGAAAAATCACTACAATGACATCGTTTATAGTTATTTTCTCTTGCCATCATGGCCCATTGAGTGTTACATTTGGCCAATTGAGAGATGTAGCCCCACTTAATGGGACCACTACAATACTATGTTGTTCTCCCTCATACACCACTATATGATAAGTTATTTTCAAATGTTCGTATTATATACGTGTTTATAGTGACTGAATCAAAATTTCATTTAATAGGGTCTTAAATTTAACAAAAAAAACTTCAATGGACCATTTCGTCGAGCACCTAATGGGTACTTGTCGATTCCTACCAACATTTGCCAAAAGCTTACGAGAACGTATGTCGACAATTACTATAATCAGTAGAGGCTTGTCGAGGGCAGTTGTAGGAAACTGTCGAGTAATGTTGAAGACTACCAAAGCTTGTCAACTGAGGCATTTCATCGAGCACTTGGTTTGCACCATAGAGTCGCATACAAGAAGAGATGGATGATAAAAATAAAACAAAAAACAAAAATAGAAAAAATAAGTTATGATTTAGTTTGTCATAACTATTTATAATGGTCAAATACAAGTACAAATACAAAATCAAATATACATAAATATTTTAAAGTTGTTAGAATCATAGACAACCAATAACTACATATTAACTCCGCCATTGCATATTTGTACTTTAAAATAATCGCGAACATGGCTGTATAATTACTTGTCAGATTCTCCTAATTCAATTAGGACTTTATTTTATAAGTTATTTTATTTTATTATTTAGTTTCTTAATTGGAATAAATTACTACACTTTAGAGTTTGTGCGATTGTGACAACTTGTCTCGAAATATATCCTCGATAGTGTGAAATGTCTAAATTACCCTTGGACGTTAAATGGTGTTGTGTGACATGCACTTTGGTTGTGGACCAAATATGTTATGTTCTAATTGTTTGGACCCAATTAGAACTAAGTTTTCTTTGTTTTTGGTTGGTGACCCAAGCTAGGACCACACACACACACCTAAATCAACCTATTGACCCTCTCTCTCTCTCATTTCTCTCGGATTTTTCCATTCGTCCGTACACTCATACGGTCATCTCCTAAACTCTCATCATTTTGCACGGATCGACGTTGAGGAGGTTATTTTTGTGTTCCTTGTGAGCCTAGGAGCTCATCCATATAGTTGGATGGACGTGAGGCCTTCGAAAACCCGAGAACCAAAAACCCTGATGAGGTGCACAGTAGCTCAGTTGTGATCGCGAAGATTTCATTAAGTTTTAAGGTCCTAGGGAGCCTTAGAACTTCTTCAAGAAGCTCAGGGAAGAATTTTGAAAGGTTTTGGATGTTGGGAAGCTCGGGTTTGGCGAGTTATAAGAGTAACCAGAATATCGAAGGACTTTCTGGCGACTTTCCGTAGGTTTTAGGACTCTTAAGTAGTAACAACTTGTTCCATTCGTCCTAACCTTTATTTTGGTAAAAATTTCATGAATTTTGGATGAGAAATGAAGAAGATTGGACGATTTGAAGTTTTTCCAGTTTCCAGCGACACATACGGCAGCCGGCGACGAAATTCGGTGACTCGCCGGAGAAGAAGATGAATATTCCGTCAATTTTGACGGAATATACCTAACGACATCAGGTATCTTTAACGGCATATGCTTAGATTTAACGGAATATTCCCTAACGGAGGTTAACTATTCTGTTTGGTGTGCCAGGCATGTGCTTGTGCTTGGCGGCGCATGAGTGATCGAAAATTTTTTCTAAAAATATGGGGTTGTTCGTGGGGTTCAGTAAATTACGCTGGTATATTCAAACACCCCAATTGAGCAATGTATGAGAAGTTATTACCTAGTTTTGGTTATGTGCTTTAAAATCACGTTTATATAGTTGTTTCGTATATAGGTGAGACATATCCAGAGGACGAGCGTAATCAAGCGAGACTCAGGGGCTACGACCCTTCCATATATCAGTGAGTGGGCTTTTGGTTTTCAGTATATACTTATATACTTGGTATTTTTCTCAAAAAAATGTGTTTAAATGAAATTATGTTTGAAATGCCATGCCTATTGATTTGTACATAGACTATGAATTTGTATGGTATGTACGTATGTGATTTGACGCGGTGAACGCTCAGGTAAGTACCAGGTGAGTTGTAGATTGTTATTGTGAATTGATGATTATGTGAGATGTGTTGAGAGCTCATAAACCTGCACCCCGGTGTTAGTGCTCCCACTCGTGGTTAGGGCATAGTCCTTCACGTGATGTTCACCTCCCGCACCATACGCTCACCTTGGATCCTAGTTAGGTGCACAGTCATGTCGTACAGACCACTATAGGTGGTTCCAACTCGTAGGTGACCCGCGATTATTCGTAGAGTCTTCACGTGATCGTAGCACCAGAGCGTATTTATTTACACCCAGTCCTATCGTATAGACCACTATAGGTGGTTCCGACTCGTGTGCAGGCATACTTGTTGAGCTATAGATTCAGCCGTACATGCCACTTTAGGTGGATTCAGCTGATATGTTATTTCTCATGAGTCTATTTCACTTGAGTTATTTTCTGTTGCATTGAGATATTTGGCATGGTATACTTATAAATATCGCTTTTCTGAGCATGGTTTTGAGTTATGTATATATTCTATTGTCTGGGAAATATTACAGGTTTTACGGCGAGGGGTTAGAACTTTTGATAAATGAAATGGTTTTGAAAAGCTTTGTTTTTGCCCACTCACACTTTCTGTTTTGCGCCCCTCCAGGTTTTAGGTAGGAGTGCTTGTTGGTGGCTTACGAGGATTTGACGGAAGTTCTAACAGATTATCGCCAATGTAAGATCACCTTTGGGTGTTGTATAATTAGTATTCGTCCTATTAGACTACACTTAGGCTAGTTATGCTCTGATTGTGCAATCACACTTAATCTCGTCACTTGCATTTTATCTTATCTAGTACTCTTAGTTAGTTAGTTTTTATGTATTCGCATTTCTTATATTAATATTACTTCCGCACTGTGCATATGGCTACGTCACCTTCACTTGACGGCCAGCATATCTCGATCTAGGTCGAGGTGTGTCAGTTTGGTATCAGAGCCTAGGTTTTACAGTCCTGCATATCTTGTGAGTATTCTAATTGTTTTGGTGTCTTCTGTCAGAACTATGCCGCCTTATAAAGAGCCACGTCCTTCAACTGAGCCTAGTTTCCCTAATATAGTTCAGTTAGGGGAAGCTATAACTAATGTTGTTTAGTCATCATTTCGCCCTCCCCAGAGGACTCCCATTGAGACTATGTATAATTTGAAGTTGAGTAATTTCATGGGTAATGAAGGCCATGAGGGAGCAGAGAAATGGCTTAATCATATTGAGAAAACTTTCCGTTTAATGCATAGATAGGGGAATCTTCTGGAGGATAGGTGGGTTGAGACGACTACCTGGTTTTTAGGTGAGTAGCTTGCATCCTGGTACAGACAGGAGTCTTATCAGTTGTCACCAAAGGAAACTGCTGATTGGGAAATGTTTAAGCAATTTTTCATAAGAGATTCATTCATCCAGAGTATATAGATCGCAAGAAGCAATAATTCACGCACCTAAAACAGGGGAAGATGACAGCTAATAAGTACCACATGAGGTTTACTGATTTATCTCACTATGATCCGGAGGTTGCTGCTAATCCGGTTGAGATGCTCTGTTGTTTTAGGTTGGGTACTCGAAAGAAGCGACGTTCTATGGCTACCACAGCTTCATATACTACTTACCAAGAGTTTTATGAGATTTTGCTACGAATTGAAGATTTAGAGAATATGCCTAGTGAGAGTGATGAGGAAGAAAATGATGAAAATAAGAAGAAAGATGATAAAGGTAAAAGTCAATCATCTTTGGGACCTCACAAG